TCTAGATGAGGCTACAGTGATTTAGGGAAAGGACAGAATGAGGATCGGGAGGGGGAACCACTGAAGTAGGGTAGCAAAACAGCCTGCCAGAAAACTTGCCCAGAAACTGAGGGAAAATCACTGTTGGTTCAGTTCAGACAAGCCCTGCTGAATCATATGATGTGCTTCGAACCCTGCGTGTGTTTAATGCTTGTAGGTGTAGGTACAGAGCCAAGGGTCCCCCTTTGGGATTTCAAGCATCTCTTTGCTAACTGTGAGGTTTGCAGGGGGATACAACTGCAGCACACACTCAGAGAGCAAGGGATGAAAATAAATAGCATGCTACTTGTAGGATAAACTTGGAGGAAACTACAAACAACAGACATGGCAAACTGTGCATCGGGTAAGAATGGCTCTAGCTCTGGGAAAGGTGCTTTTGTCACAAAGCCTTTGGCTTAAGGTACATTAGGTAGTTCCTACTGATGCTTGCCCTGCTTCTTTTCTTGTTCTGAAGTCCAGGCATATTGGAAATAAAGGAGAACTTAGCCAACAGAGCCAACAGGTTTAACATTATTGTGATTCATGCTGGGCTCATGCAGAATGCGGGACACTACATGGAGGCATTCACCATGAGGACAGTGTTAGAGACATTGAAGGCCAAGCTAGACAGGGCCCTGAGCACCTGATGGAGCTGTAGATGTCCCTGTTCATTGCAGGGGAGTTGGACCAGATAGCCTTTAAAGATTCATTCCAACTCAAATGATCCTATGGAACCCTGCAGGAAGCCCAGTATTCCTCATCTGGATGTGGAATAGGTCACTGGTAAGGTCTCTTAACCATCCCCTGGGAATAGCTGAGACATCTATGGGACTGTATTTGTCCTTGTGGGAGATAGCTCATGTGGAAGAGGTGGGATGCGTGGCCAGATCCAGAAAACCATGCAGGTAGTATCAGTGATGCCAACATGGGATGACCAAGAAAATCAAACCCTTGTGTGGAGATGGCCAGCCCACCTGCACTGCAGTTTCTGGAAGTGATTTTATTAATGAGGCAACATGGGTAAGGGGCTCTCCCTCCTGCTGCCTTGCTGGAAGGTTCCAAGGCGAACCAAGCCCTGCTAATCTTTTGTAAATGTGAGAAAGGCAAGTGAGGCTTAGGCACACTTCAAGCTGTTTCTCATTAGCGTGGGAACCGGAGACATGCTGCAGAGATGCTCCTCAAAACGGGGCACTCAGCCCCTTTGCTCCGGGAATGCAGAGCTACTTCTCTGTCCTTCTGCAGCAGAGACCCTTTCTATTTCTCAACACAGCCAAGGGGTCCTGCAGGGAAACCCAAACATTGCAGCTCATCACCCATGTCGGAGGTGAAACTCTGCTTCCCAGGCACCTCATCACCAGCACTACTGCATCCTGCTGGGGCCAGGAGCAGCCAAACCCTGGAAGGTCAGGGCAGGACATCCACAAGAAGGGCCGAGAGCGTGGAAACACAGGGCAGAGGGAGTGGAGCCGATGCACTTTGGAAGAGCTGAGGAATGAGAAACATGATGTGAGAGCAGAGCCAGCAAGTGGGGAAAGAGACGGGCGCCCAAGCTATCGGCCTGTTTGCAATCAGTGCAGGGATGGTAGCAGCCCGGCCGCCAGGGACACGTAAAGCAATTTGAAAAGCTGCTGGAAATGGGCTGCAGGCAGACTTTACAGTTCCAACACATATTTCCTATTAAAAACACAAACCTAATCCTCGTAACAAGGAGCACCAGGTAGTATGGCCCAGGGAAGCATCACCTTTCCGCACTCGCATGAATTTAAGAACAGCTTATCCCACCTCAATATCAAGGACAGACTCCAACAAAGAGTGAGGCAATGCTCTGGTTTGCTTTCAGCCTGGAATGGAGGAGAAACTCCTGTGCCCGTGTTGGTGTGGTGTTTCAGCAGGGTCCCAGGCTGGGTGGAAAATAGCAGCAAAGCCCACTCAGTTGCAGTGAGGGAGATTTGGGTTTGGTGAGGTCTCTGCCTTAGGAGAGCCAAGAAACATGCTTGGGAGAAATTGAGGCTGAGCACCTCTTAAACCTCCTGCAGCCCAACAAGAAGAATCACGACAGCTGGAAAATCAATCCAGCTCCAACCACAGCCAATGCTGTGCGAGTCAGATACAGTCTGAGCTTTGGGGTCCAGAAGGACAAAAGTCATCCCTGGAGACATTCAAGGCCAGGCTGGATGTGGCTCTGGGCAGCTTGGTCTAGTGGCTGGCAACCTTGCACACAGAAGGGGGCTTGAAACTAGATGGTCTTTGAGGTCCTTTTCAACCCAGGCCATTCTCTGATTCTATGATTCATCTGGTGATGGTCACCAGTGGTCCTCATTCTCCTGTCCAGAGAAGACCTGGCTGTTGGCAAGGAGTAGAAGAGATGTAAAATGTTTTTTTAGATGGGATGTAGCATGCAACAAGCAACTTTCACCAATACAACTGACTGGTGCAAAGCTGGAAACTTTCTATTCTGTTTTTCTTTTGTCTCCACAGAGGTGTTTTGGCAATGGTTGATGGCATTCAGAGACCTTGGGGGCTAACAAGGCTGCATTTAAATCTCACTAAGGTCAACCAAAATGGATTTCAGCTACAGCGGGATGGTTTTGAGCACAGGCAAACAAGGATCTGCTGAATCAGAGTGGGATGGGTGGGGAGGGAAGAGGAGGAACAACTCTGTTTTCAAATGGAAAGTATTTTAAGACCCCTTCTGAAGCCAACTGCACAAATCTCACTGCATCCTTGCAGGGCTACCAGCTGCCAGGGAAGCTTTCAGGTGTGCAAACAATTGGAAATCTCCTCTACGGGACTTTGATGAAGACCCAGAGGGATTCAGTTCCACCATAAATCACGAGGGGCGAGACCCTCCCTGCCTGTACCCTACTGACATCCTAGGGATGCACCTTTTCCAGGACAGCCTCCAGCTCACATGATCTATTCTTTGGAAAGACACAAAATAAACCACGTTACCCTGGACTTTCTCCTCCTCCGAGGGATTTGATCCAGCAGTTTTCCTGGCTGCAAGCTGTTTTCAGGAAGCTGCTTATAACACTGGCACGGGGTCATTCTTCTTTCTGCTTTTTCTCATTGTATGCTTGCTGCATCCCCACTGCTGGATATATAATATATATATATTTTAAACTCTCTATATAATAAACAATATATCCATATCTGTATTTATATCCATAATATAATAGCCCTCTCAGCCCGTGGATGTGTTGTTTTCCAGAAACTCAAGGATAGCGACCAACTGATCCCAGGCAGAACTTCTATTAATTTCCTCCAGTTATCATCTTTTTCCCTTACTTCATGTACACCAGACTCTGCAGGAAGCTTTCCCATACCATGAGGTCGTTCATGTTTCACAGAAGTGCCAAACACCTTCTTGCAACAGAGACCACCTGCCTGTGCTTACAGAAAGCCAAGCACGGTCAAATCAGACTTTAGTCATTGCTGGAGACACGTGGGGTGACGTATAATGTTAATTAAGGGAAATCTAAGTCATGCAATGGCTGTTTTTTGTACCTTTTCAACACAGCACACTTCAGACCCCCTGGGGTCCTGCTTTCCTGGGTAGAGAAACACGTGGCTAGACATGAGCACAGACTGGGTTTCATTTCTGTCTTAATGAATTTTGCTAAAATTGTCACTGCCATCAAACCTTTGGTCACATATTAACAAAGCCCTGGTCACGCATCCCATGCTCCTCGGGCTGCACATGTGGATTGGATGCTTCATGTCACCCACGTGGAGCACAGAAGAGAGATGCCCCAGGCTCTGCTTTGGCTTTGTCCCCTCTGATTTCCTGGGGACCCTCCCTGGGGGCTCTGCAATAGGAAGAGCTGCAGTGAGGCCTTTTGCTTTCCTCCCAGCAGCACAAGGTTGAGCACCGGGCTGAAAACGTGTCCTCAAAAGCTTGGTCATTTGGCTGTTTTCCCTTTCATTTTTCAGCAGAAAGGCTCGGGTGATATTTCACAGCAAATAAAAGCCAGGCATGAGAGCCTGACTTTCCTGGCGGCCGAAGGGCGCGGAGCTGGCTACTAGCCCCATGCTGCTGGGATGCACTGGAAAAATCTTCCCTGCATGAAGGGAACCAGTTCAGAGCTGCAAATCAGAATTCTCCAGCCCCTACACCTCAAGAAAATAAGATTTTGTATGATACAGTTTAAATAAGAAAATAAAAAACTAGTGAAAGCTTACGTACACCTCACAACTTAGTGGCTGTGATTTTGCTGAAGAGCCTTTTTGCAAAGGCACATGGAGATATGTGATCATCCATCCTTCCTAAGCGAAAACCTGCCCTCAGGCTGAACCTGCTGTCTCCCAGGGAGGAAGAAAAGCTCTCTGAGTGATGAGCTGGCATGTGGACAGAAAGCAATAACATGGATGTGGTTGGGAAGTGGAGAGACCTGTGCTCCTGGGTTTCCTCCAGCTCCTCCAGTGTGTGTGTTTAGGCAGGAACATGGGGTGCTGGGGTCATAAGGGGATGCTAAAGGGTAAACCACAACCTAAATTGATTGTTCGTTATAGAATCATAGCACTATAGAATGATTTATGGCAAATGGAATTCCAAAACTCACCAGTCCCAACTGCTGCCATGGGCAGGCTGTCCAAAGTCACCCAGCCCAGCTTATAGAGGTGCTTTGGAGGACCCCCAGCCTCAGGGAAGTTGGGGGACGTGATCAGCCTGGTCAGCTAACTGCATGCTGAGTACTTCTGCTGCTTCAAGCTGTGGCTGCTCCCTCTCCCAATATGAGCCTGGCAGCAGACCAGGGAACAACGTTAGCAAAGGAAAAGATTCAATTATTTAATTCAGTTCCTTAACGCTCTGAAAATGAGCACAGGTTGCCAAATCAAACACTGGCACAAGTGGGAGGGAAAAAGTTAGGTGTGCTTTTGCTGGCTGCAAGCCTCCCCCTGGAGATGCCTTTCATTTAGGGCTGTTATCAGTTTGTTTCATCAAGTGAATACGATAACAAGGTACTCACATGCTTTTTGCTTCTCTGTTTGTGCCGGATGGGTGACAGAGGATTGGTCCTCTTGTGTGCTCAGGGGGACAAAAGGAGAAGGCAAAGAGCAGAACGTAAGATGTCCAAGTCTAGGCTGACCTCAGCACACAGCTGGCCAAGGCACCACCCGTGATGCTCTGTGTCCAAAACTCAAATTATCCACCCTCCACGTGGCTCTGCACCTCCGCTTGGACCCACATGGTCTAAAAAGAGAAGAAAAAAAGAAAGTACAAGAAGAAACTTGTTCTTCTATTTACATTCTTACATTTTTTACAAGAAACTTCTAGTCTTACAAGCTGATACTTGTTGTTCTGTGCTCCTGCATATGAGCATCCAGTGCACAGTAAGGTAAGGGGACCAAGGCAAGCCCTCTTCCATCCACGTAGTAGAGAGAAAGTCATCCAGCAAGGCAGGGCTCATGGGGTGACGTGGGTTTTCTGTATCCCCATTTGGGACCTGCATGAATTAATGCACAATAAGGTCCTGTGTGATCCCTCACCAGCCCAATTTATCCTTTCTTTTAGCAAAGCTTGGAGCTTTCCGCAACGTTCGCTATGGCCTGAGCTGAGCTCAGCTGGAAGAAGCAGAGGTGTGAACTGGTTGAATGTGGAAGCCCAGGGATGGCAATTTCACAAACCTTTCATTTGTTTGTAGGAAAACATGAAGAAAAGGCAGAGAGCACAGACAACAGGCAGCAGGCCAGAGCCCAGTGCTGCTAGCATGCACCACACGTTCCTCTGGACGTCTCCAAAGCAATTTGGAAGAGCTCAGTCCTAGAAAGGCCACCAGCAAGCAGGGACATGCAATGCTTATTTTGTAGGTTTGCAGCTGGACCACGTCCATCACAGGGGTGCAAGTACTGATGCTGAGTGATGGACTGGGAGCAAAGTGATCTCTTTGCTCCACCAGTGTTTCTGTATCAGCTCTGGGTGCACCAGGACTGCCCCACAGATTGTGACTCCACTTTCTCAGAGTGGGAAGGAAAAGGAAACCATGGAACAAGGGTGAAGTGATGCCCAAGGCCTCACTGGGGGAAGCACAATGAGGAAACAAGCTTTACCAACAGCTCTGGAGCACGCCCTTGTTAATTTGTAAGGGAAGACAACAACTGCTTCTAGTGAGCAACATCCATTCTGAAAAATGCATGTAACTGCTGTATTTTTAAAACATATATATGTATGATGGTAACTACAGATTGAATCTTCAGCTCAAATTTTGAAGCCATCAAAGTGCAAGCCCTCTAATTTTCCATTCTGAAAGCCATGCTGCTACTTCTGTCCAGTACCAGAAAGCGCTGGGTGTTTTTTGTGCCTGCTGAGGAGCAATGGCATTTGCCTGAATTTTGCCTTAGTTTACTCCCCTTCATCTACAGCCTGATGTGCAAGAAGCTGTAAATCTCTCTTTTCAGATGTAACTCTGCAGCATTTTCTTCAGCCTCCGAACCTCTCACATGATTGTGCTGGCACTAACGCCAGAAAAGTTTAGTCATGGCTTCTGTCCCTCCTGTGCCAAGGAAGACAGAAATGAAAACAACCAAATCCAAAGCTAGCTGATGGGCTACAACCCAGCTCAGAGCTGACGAGCTAGAGAGGCACAGAAAAAGGGGGGAATTTGCCCCAGGCAAGGTATCCACCAAGTGGGAATTTCTCCATAAATGAAAGGAACATCCAGTTCCATAAAACTTAAGATTTGAGCAAGTAGTAGAAACTCGTAAGGTGATCCCAAGGATCACTGAGGCAGATCCCAGACCTGCATCCTTTAGTAAAGCTGGGCAGCTTCATTATCCTCGTGACCACAGTGGTTTTCACTCCTAATTTTCCTATTCTTGAAAGAAAAGAAGAAGAAAGCAGAGCAAAAGCGAATCCCATCAGATGCCTCTCTTGTTTTTAAAGCAGAAATTCTGGTTTGGCTGTTGACACCATTCGAACCACTTTCTGCTGCAGTGCTGGAATGAAGTCTGCCATGGAGCATGGGCAGATAAAATTTGGGCCTCCCAACAGCTGAACCTCACTTTTCTGCCAGCCAACTTCATTGGCTGGCACTGTGCTGGAAGACACATCTGCAAATGCTCATGAATAGAGCACGAATCACGGCAAGACTTCATTTGTTTTTACTGCAGAAGAACCACCTTGGCTTTATGCAATGTGTGTGTATCTACCTGCACCTACAGACACAACCACGTATTAATCCACAGACCTCCATAACCAGGGTGAGATGCGAATGATGACTCCATTGATTTTTCTTCTGGAGCAAATTTCCCTGTTTATGATCCTTGAACTTAAAGTAAGTGGAACAATAATGTCAAAGCAGCCACGTGCTTCCTGTTTATCCTGCCATCCCTGCCTCTGCTCTGCTAGCAGCAGCCTGACCTGGAACTGAGCACAGGAAAACATGCAAAAGCAATTGGGCCACGAGAAATAGCTCGTCCTCATTCATTCTCCAGTTGATCTTCATGCATACCTTTTTTCATGGCAGCCAAGTCAGTCTTTCCAAATGAGCTTTCCAAGGCTTTCTCAAAACAGGCACAGCAGAAGACAAAGACACCAGGGCTCTTTAGAACCAGAGCTTGAAAAAAGCATTTTCCATGTCCACGAAAAAAAGGCTGAAGCAGCATCTAAGAAGCCATCCAGTTTTCTGCATGTAATGGTGACTAAGGCTACGCTGCATGATCACTCAGATGAGCAAACCTGGATTAGATCTGTACGTGCTCAGATTTGCTTGTATTTTACTTTAATTTTCAGGGCAGGAGTAAATGTGCACCATGCAAAGGATGGAGCACACCAACTGGCTAACCTTGCTCTGGTTCAGTTGCACAGCCGTGCCTGACAACCCAGTGGGTCCCAATAAAGCCAAGACAGCAGGTGGTCACAGTCAGACACCATCGGGGAACTTTTGGGAAGAAAATGTGTGGGACAGAGAAACTTCTGAAGAAATGAAGGGCTGGGCAAAGAATAAACGAAGAAAAGTAGAGCATAAAATAAGAGCACGATCAAGAACTTAAGACTATGGGGAACATCACAATTCTAGCCCTTATGTAGATAAAAATGCTTAGATACAGTGGAATAAACATCAGGACAAATGCCATGTGGGAAAGGCAGAGGCTGAAAGATTGATAGATAGCTGCAGACAAGACATTCTGCCTGACTTTGTGTAGGCCAGGTTGCCCAAACCTCAGGGCAGGGCTAAAAACGATGAGAGTGGTATCAACTAAAACCCAGAAAGACCTGCATCTTTAGATCTCAAGCAGAGAGAGAGGTTAGTTGCTCTGGTGTTGTTGGACCAAACCATGGTGAAAAGTCCAACAATGGATTTGCAGAGATGGACACATGCCTGTCCTTTACTGCTGAAGTCTACAGTATGGAGCAAGACTGTGCACATAAATTCCAACTATAGGACTTCCCAAGCTCCCAGTTTTATCTGCTGCACTAAATAATCCCAAAACATTTGTTAAGTTCTAGGGGCATCAGAGCATCATGAGCAAGGAGACTAACGGCTGTATGAGGTTGCATGCCAGAAACCACTAGCTTCCTCAAAAGAAAGGCATACCACTTAGGCTGGAGGCTATTAGTTGCCAGTTACAGCTAAAAGAATGGTATTCTTTTAAGTGCAAAGTTCTGTGCTACTTGTCAGGAGATCTATGGCAAACACTGCTTTCTTGCTTCCCTTGCACCATGCAGGCCAGCAGTGGCAAGGGATGTTCTGCCGTCACCGCCGTCCGCTTGCTGATTTTGCCCCCGAGAGCAGCCCTTTGCCAGGAAAAACATTGGGATATTTCCATTTTAGGAAGTGAGCTGTTATTTCACTTTTTTGGCCAAGGCTGATTTACGCAATTTGATACTGGTAAGGGACTGAACCCTTTCACAACACTTTCTACTGTTCACAGCGCTTTTAATTATCAGCAGATCTCCCCGTCTCTTTTGCACTCAGTGATTCCTGCTAAGAGGCCAGCTTCTCAAAATAGCTGAAATGCTGGTGGATGTGTGGATCTGAACAGAATATGTTGAGGCGTGACTCCAGGACCTCCTCCTCCAACTATGCAATGACATCCTGTAGACTTCTAATCAACGGTAGAAGAGAAGTAAAGCTAAGACACGTTAGTTTTCTATCATTGATTCCCATTATATTGCTATTTGCTAGGTACCTGAAAGCTCTGAGACAGACTATATCCTTTCCCTTGGCTTGATCAAAGATATAGCAAAGTATGTTTCTTGCTATCTGGAATAAGTAAATCAGGCATAGGAAGGAGAAAGAAGAAAAGAGAGGCCACACAGATCCTTCACATCTGTCTCATAATCACACTTATGGGCATCTACCCTGTAGCAACCATCCAACTCACGCCTAAATAAAACACTTAAGCTATCAGGTACAAATTCAGTTCTTCTCACTCAGTTCTTGACTCTACTTCTACTGCAAGTTTGGATCTCAGAACAGCACAGGGAGCTCATCAAAACGCCACAATTACTTGTTGCCAAATTCAGGTGCTTTCAAAACCACCCTTCCCTTTCTATCGCCTACAAGCAAGTCAGGAAGAAGATATAAATCCTTGGGAGAAAAACTGAGCTTTGGATGAGCTATTTTTCCATTTTCTCTGTTCCAGAGAATTGAAACCTCGGACTGAACTGCTGTGGTTCAGGTCATAGCACGGTACATCTTAACTCTCCAATTAACTACACACCAAAAATCATTCAGAAAGTCCCTGGCAAAACCAGAGGGAAAGTCAACATTTCTTGAACATCTTGAATAACGTCCTTCTCAACCAGTTTTTCTTCCCTTGGAGTCAGCTGCTCTCAGCATTACTGCTTCTGCAGTGGTTAGCTTTTGGCTATCTCCACTGAATTTAAGCATTTTCAAAGCAGAATCACGAAGCAATGAGCAGAATGCTGACAGATTTCTATCTGAACACAAAAATCACTCCAATTCCAAGAAATGGAATTCTACACTTTTCTCTTATTTTTTTTCTTTTCTGCTTTCTTTCTTTCTGCTTTCTTTATTTGCCTCCAATCAAGCTCTTGCCCCTGAAGTCAATGGAAAAAGAATGGTTCGAAGTTGCTGGAGGAAAACCTGCATGGGGACAAGTTGTCTGAGCACTCACAGAAATCTAGAACGCATACAAATGGATGCATACTTGTGGAAGAAAAAAAAACAAAACGTGATGCCATTTGACTGCCTTTCTAGATTTCCCTTCTTTGCTGGAGATCAGAGCTGGCAGAAAGGGTCAAGGTAAAAGTTGCTCTTGAAGAGGTACAGATAGAAAGGCAGGCACAAATACTGGTTCAGGAATAGTTTTCTTCATAGTTGGAGCGAAGAATTCTTGCAAATAGAAGTGACATACTGCTTTGGGTCATTTATTAGCTGGTAAGTGACAGGGCTTTTTATCTGAGCTATAAACTTCATCATCACAGTAAGCAACCACAGGGCATAGCATACAGAGATGGTCCTTGGATAAGGGCACGAACCCTCCTGAAGGGTAGTAAAGAGCCAAACATCCATCCTCTTGTCTTTGGGTTGACCACCATAGCAGCTCACATCTTTATTTGTGGAGGTAAACCACGTGCATGGAACCACCAGTCAAGGCCCTTGCATCTCAGTTGAGGAAGTACACAGATTATGCATGCCAGATATTCAGTCCATTACACTTCTGCTTTGCCTTAAAATAGTACTGCAGTGATGCACGGAATTTCCCACCTTGCAGAGCCCCCAGCCAGCTTTCAAGACAGAGGTGCTGTGGCACATGGCTCTGCTCTGCCTTGCTGCACAGGGACAACCCTGTACAGAGATGCATTAAGAACATAAAGCAAAGGGAGACTGCAGCAATGGTTTCTAGTGACAGATATGACTCACCAAAACCTGGCTTCGTGCTAGTGGCTGGGATTAATAAACCAATCTCCTGAGGCAGTGTGCCTGGTAGTCCCTCCTTACTGCTCTGGATTAATTGCCACTTGGGGCTGCCTTGGTGCTATTGGTGCATGGCCACCCTTTAACATGGGCCTCCAAAGGACAGCAAGGCATAGTGTTGACGAGGCTGTTGGAGAAGAGCTGCTTTTCTTCCCCTTAATGAATATCCCAAGTCAGAAGGGACTCCATGGGATCACCGAGTCCAACACAGCACCACTCAAACCCAAACCCTATGGCTGAGAACGGTGTCCCAATGCTCCCTGAGCTCCAGTATCAGGGCTGTGCCCACTGTCCTGGGAGCTGCTCCATGCCCATCACTGAGCCTCCCGACAGAGCTCTATCAGGTCACTCCCTCAATCTCCTCAACACAGAAAGGTCCAGTAGAGGACATGGCTTCCAGACCACAGAGACCACGAGGCATCATAAGATTCATCCATCAGTTTACACGTTGATGGGCAGATAGCCATAACGAGCTCCGGAAAGCTTGTGTTCAGCCTCAGTCCCGTAAGGAGGAAGATCAAAGGGAGCAGAACCTCAGGGATCAGGGCTGTCCTGAGGTAGGACATACACACTTGGCCCAAAGCACGCTCAAGGCAACCGCTCTGATTTCTCCTTGAATGCATTAAATGTGCAGAGCGGAAATATCTGGAGTTCAGCTGGGACAACATACAGCACAGCTGGGGACCCTAGAGAAATCTGAGGCTTTATGAACTTCTTCGAACATTTCCTTCCTTTTCTGCCTTTTTTGCCCCTCAGTTCTATTCCTTTCTTTCCTAAGAAGTGCTTCTTTTCCCAGGGAGAGAATATTAAGTTCTTGATTTAATAACCGTGGTGAGGGCTGCACTTTATAAGTAAATAGAGAGATGTGCGGTCACAGAAATAGGAAAAACTATGGGAAAAATACCTCTGTTAGAATTAGCCTCATCTCACTCTTCATGGTAGAGTAGCAATCTTTAAAACCAAACTCTGCCTTCAAATACGATAATCCCTCAAATTTGTAAGCATCTAGGCATGCAGCAATGTGCAGCCAGCAGAGAGAAGCACGTCATGGGGAAAGTCAGTTTGTCTGAAGATGGGTTGCAGGGACATTTATTTGAGCCAGACTCTTTCCCTGGCGAGGCAAACCACACTTTGCACTTTTTTTTACATTTTATCCCAATGCCACAGTAATTTCCAAGTGACTTTTGCCTCTTTTTTTTTTTTTTTCTTGCAATGTGCCCACTGTCTCTGGGAGCCTTCTGGAAGAAAGGGCTTCAATCAGTGTAGATCATGAGTCACTTAGAGGGAAGGGAGGCTTCATTGGAACTGGGGATGCAGTTGGTTTGCAGTTCTGTCCCTGAGTCTCAAAGAACCATGGGCACAGAAATCTGTGCAGGAGCTGGAAATGGTGACCAGTCAGGTCCCCAGCCAAACCAGGGTAAGATTTTTGCTCCATGAGTCTGATGACCACATCCAATAGCCAAGGGAGAAATCAGACAGGAACATCACCATGATGATAGCCATGGAAACTGCTAGCTGAAGGCACAGAGCCAAAGAAGGGAGAGAGTTCCCACAGAGCATACACCATGTGCTATCTTCCTGTCAGCAACTATTTACTGGATATTCAACAGGCTGTGGCCAGGTTTTCCAATACACTCCTTTTCATCCCACAAGAATACTCCAATCTTCTCTTAATTCAGCCTCCCTAGGTAGAAATTATAAGCTTAGGCTGCAAGGTAATAGCAGGCTAGAGGTTTTAGGACACTCAAAATACATTTTACAAGGCTGATTGCCCACATGGTTGACACAGTGCCCATGTCAAGGTATTTCAATAGCATCCAGCTTCTTCAAACAAAACCAAGTAACCCACCTTTTACTTAGGCATGCTTTTTTCCTGCTAAAGCTCTCCCATTTTGTTGACTTTGATAGAGACCTGATAAAACAGAGAAGTGTCTTCTGCAAGGTCACTTCCAGACACTGGCAATGGGCAGGAGCAGCAGGGAGCATTACAGCTGTGCTCTGGGCTCGTGGCTACACGAAAGCACCTTTGCCAAGAGGTGAGCACATCTCTCCATCACTGCTGGTGGCCCTCGCTCTGATGAGAAGCTCAAAGTTATTGAGCAACAAGAGATGGAGAAACAAACCACGAGGCTGGATGTGCCATCAGAAATAAAGTTTTCAGCTGCAACCAGCTTCCTTACCTCTGGTTTTCTGCTCTGTAAGAGCAGCAGCAGCAAACACCTCCCACAGCATGGTGCATTAAGGGGAAAAGTGGTCTTTGCTGTCCGGTTCAGATAGCTTGCCTTGCGTGTAGCTACCCTCATCATCCAAGGCAGACAGGCATCTTGGTGGTGCCAACCTGAAATGAGGACAGAAATACAGCTGGTGAAAACCTGGCAGAAGCAGGGAGCCCAGTCCAGTGGGTCAAGTCCTGCCTGCTACCAAATATACAGGGCAGACATCCCAAAGGCAGGCAACAGCTCCTCCAGATAGGAACTTCACATGTGGGACTCCCATATCAAATATCTGGGACACAAAATGTTTTGCATGCTGGAGTTATCCCAGTGAAGTGAAAGGGAGGGTGGAAAGTCAGCTAAAAGCACATGGCCATGTGCAGATGAAAGTGATATCAGTGATCTCTCTCTGGGAAAAAGGACAACAAAAAAAAACCCAGCAGATTATAAAACCAGAGGTTCCTTAGCTAAAGATAGCCTTGGCCTGCTGCTATCCAGGGCAAGCCTCTGCAAAATCACCAGCAGCTCCTCTGCAGCCAGGTACATGCAAGCCTACAGCATCAATCTACACTCTGGGTCACTTCCCTCTGCTTGCTTCAGCTCAGAGGGAACATCTCCTGGAGGTGCCATCTCCCCCTCTGGCTGGAGCAGCGTATACAAGCCTTGGGCATTGCGACAGATTTCTAAGGAGCCCATGGGTACTTGAGACAAATCCCACCCTGACTACAGGGAGATGTGAAAATAAATCTGCACTAAGCTAGGAAGACCTTGACAGGGAGAACCAAAGTGGCTTCATTTCCTGAGAAAGGCTCAGGCTTCAAAGCCTGGAGAACGCTCACAGAAAGTTTTCTATGCCAGTTAGCATGCAGGGAGTAGGGAAATGCTTCCCCTAAGATACATCCAGCTGGGTTTTAATTTCTTTCCATGGAATGGCTCCTGCCCACTGCACCGATCTCAGTGCCAGCAATGATTAGTACTGTCCTATCCTCTGCGTTTCAGTGTAAGTTATGGCTCTCCTGAGATACAGTAAGGGTGTATTAAAGATGTGGAATCTAAAATTCAGAAGTTCAGAAACAAAAAGACTTTGGGGACCAAACAGAAACACTGAAAATAGAAGTTCCACGAGCCAACACAAACTCAATTTCTTGTTCCATTCCCCTCCCATGCTTCTCTGCAACACTGAACGTGGGGGTCGAACAAAGTCATTCATAAATTTGTGCAGGACTAAGCAAATTCGTTTTGTTTGGGAAAACAATAGAGCTTTATCAAGAAAGTTGAAACATTACTTTTGAACAATTTTTCGGAACAATTAAGTGTCAATTTCCAGCCAATACTTTGATCTTCCATTTGTGCATCTGCATTACCCTAAAATCAGCAGATACACATAGAAATCCTCATCCACCCAAAGCTTCCCCCAGGCTACGTGCCCACTGGCTGCCCCTCTGCAAGAGCAGCTTGGAGATTTCCAACAGGCTAAGCAAATCACATCCTCCCACCCCTTGACCAACGATGCAGCACCAGAGAGATGATGGAGAGCTACACAGAGAAGCTTGTTTTGTCTCATGGGAAAAGCATGGGTGGGAGCACCACATTCTGCCTTCTTGCCACCAGCAACCTAGTCCTGGCCATTTTGGCCTGCTGCCCCAGGCCATGGCTTGCTTGATCACTAGCCATAGCATTACGCATCGTTCGTGGGAGGTTTTGCCCACAGAAATCAAATCTGTGTGAATCTTCCTAACGTATGAACAGAAAGCTCTTCTTTTTCCCTTTCCAGAGTGGGAGGAAATAAAGCCATTTGAGCAATTAGCACTGCAGTCTGGCTGAATTTAATCCTGAAGGATAATACATATTGAACGTTATTGTTCAGGCATTTTGGTTATATGAGAATAGTCATAGAGCTGCCTCTCTATGCTGAGACAGCAGAAGACAGGAGAAGAAAGAAGGTTACTTAATGCAGGACAGGAGGGTGTGGAAGCCAGCTGTAGGTGTTTTAAAGCCCTGTCTTCTTTTCCACTGGAGATGTTACCTCCCTGGTAGGTATTGTCCAATCCTTCAGCTTCCAAAGTTTTCCTGCTGATAGAGGAGGTGAACCTCTCATCATCTGCTTCCAGACCTCAGAACATCTCACTTCACCGTGAGCCTACAGAGAGAATTAAATACCTTGGATTGCATTCAGAAGTTATGCAGGAACCTTTGGAAACATTAAAAAAAAAAGAAAAAAGAGTCCAGGCCTTACATATAGACTGACAAATTCCCCTCTGCTATGAACCCACAGGTGCCATACAACACACCTGCACGCTCTCTCAAAAGACTATCAGGTGAAAACAGACAGACTTGAGAAAGACCTTTGAGTTCTTTTAAATACGCTGAGGTTTTCTGCTGCTCAAACAAGAGAGTTTGTGTCACTGCTGCCTTCTCCAACACGGTACAATTCAAGTTCTTATTGGGTGAAAAGCATAAACTATGATATCTCACGTTATAAATGGTTCTGTTACCAAAATGCTAATGTCATGGAATCATTCAGGTTGGAAAAGACCTCTAAGATCCCCAGTCCAACCCCAGCCCATGCCCACATCCCTCAGTGCCACATCCCCATGGCCCTTGAACACCTCCAGGGATGGACTGGCTGTCACAAATCTCAAGGCCACCAAGAGGTTAAGTATGCTGGTTTGGAGTTGACTTCTTTTGATAGAAAATAAAGAAATACCAGTTGACCCCTGGATAGATTTGGAAGCAGCAGGAAGATGTGGATAAATGAATGCCTTTGTGTAATCCATCAGTACGAGGCAGTTCTCTCTGGTTCAAAGTGCATCCTCCAAAGTGAAAACCAGGCTTTTCATCAGCATAAATTCCTCTTGGCTCTGACTAGGAACTCCAAAAGACTGAAACCTCTATTTAATCCTGTCGCTTGACCTCTTGTTTCTCCTGAGTTTCATTAACAGTATCCTGCTTGGATGAATTTGCTTTGAACAGCACATCAAAAATATTCATAGTGTAGGATTTAGAACTATATTTGGTTACAGGAACTTGTAACAAGAAACTTTTTTTTTTTTTATTTCCCTAGAAAGCTCAAAGAATGCTGAAAGCTACATAATGAATGGAAACAGCCTAACTCTAACACATGATAGGTGAGACCTGAATAGAGCAGACCCCTGGCAAGCTGTGTGCTGTCCTGCTGTCCTAACAGGCTGTTTTCAGTCTGAGTAACTGCAATACGATTAAGGGCTGAGGGCTGAACCATGTTTTTCAGCCTACAAACAAACTTAAAGGTGAACCCTAAGATCTCTCACTGTAACGTTTTCTGTAGCACTCGATTTGCATCTAAAAGGTCTAGAAAAAGCCAAGCCATCACAGAGCATAAGCATCAGCCTGAAAGGTCCCCTGACTCCTGGATTTCCGTGGGAATCTGGAATTTGAACTGGGAAAGCCTAAGGCAGATTTCCTGGAATAAAGGAGTAGCTATTTAAAAAGCAATTAGAACACTTTGAAATCCGTAAACCCAAACAAATCACGCTGCAGGACAGTCTGTCTCCAATCACCACACCTATAAATCTGTCCTGAAGCATTAGCTGTGTCGTGATCTACTGAATAATACATCTTTATTACTTTCTTGGGACCAAGGCACACTCCAGGGCAGGCAGAAGTTGCAGTTTCAGCTTCAAGCCAGACTCCACTGCAGCAGATCTCTGCTCTGGCACACCATGAGCATCCAGGCATTGCAATCTGGCTGCCCTGTCCTCCCTGCTTTACCCTGTTTCACCCAGATAGACTAAAGAAGTTTGCTGGAGGGGAAAGTCTAGCAATCCTTTGGATGAGCTGAAGTGCTGGTTATACGTGCATACAAGATGCACTCCTCCACCTTAGTAGGACCATCCAACCACAACCATCTCTTCAAGCATTTTATATCTCTCAGGTTTGATTTTAAGCCTAGAATAGTTCTGGCATGCTGCTGCCTCTGAGCAAAACTGAAGTGATGCTTGTATTCATCCTCTCTTGGGATAGCCTTCTGAAAATACAAATTCTGGATGGCACGGAGCAGTTGAGAAAATCTTATATAGGATCATATCAATCGACCTCCTGTGATGCTACAGCTGAAGACACCACAAGTTTCAAAAGGGAGGACAACTTCTGTTTCCTCAATGCCACAGCCAATCTTCATATATCATGACAGAGGAGTTGCTACTAAAAGAGCTTTCTCTCATTATAAAACGCTGGAATCTATGGAAACCTGCAGCAAGATGGAATGGGAAACTCAACTGGCACCTACTGGGGGCTCTGGTGCGATGATGTGGGAGGGCTGAGGCAGTGTTTACAGCTTTGTCTCTGTACAACTTTTGGAAAACAGTTCTCCTCTCCTTTCCCACATCTCCCATATATAAAACGGTAGGATTAACAGAATCTCACTTCATTGTTTTACATAATTACGTTAGGAAGGGGCTCTTTTTGCTCTATGTAGTGCTCAGCCTCAAAGAGTGTCAAAGCTCCATGGTGCAATAATAATTCAGATGCATCTAATAACTGACACATGGGTGGTAATGTTAAATGACTGCAGGTTCTTAAATAGCGGACTACACAGATGTTGAGATAGGCACTGATGCACTGGAACAGGTTGCCCAAGGAGGCTGTGGATGCCCCATCCCTGCAGGCATTCAAGGCCAGGCTGGATGTGGCTCTGGGCAGCCTGGTCTGCTGGTTGGTGACCCTGCATATAGCAAGGGGTTGGAACTGGATGAGCACTGTGGTCCTTTTCAACCCAGGCCATTCTAGGATTCCATGATAGGCCAGTTGAGATAGGGATGACGTGTTCTATGGAGTACAAGGGTCTTGCTTCCTGTCTGGAGGCGAACTCTCACTAAGCTCTGAAGCACTTCTCAAAGGGACAGCGTGCACATCAGCAAAGCAAGAGTCATTCCGCTGGCCAGGAGCCAGGTTTGCAGAGTGCAAATTAAATCCAAGGCAAACCCTCCAGCACTTTGTGGAAAGGTTCCCACTGACTCCATCAAGCTTTCATTGGAGTTTTTGAGCCGCAGTCAAAAACATTATTTTCTCCAGATCAGAGATGGGTTTGAGCAACAAGGTAACGCCTCCGTTACCCCCCGGCTGCAGGCAGAGGAAATCCTAACCTTATTAGAGAGCAGGGCTGGAAGATACCCCAGCATGGCACGCAAGAAAGCAGTCATGCAGATGGTATGCTGTTTTTGCCTTTGTCGTGCAAACACAAAGCATCTCCCCAAGTGTTTGACAGCTGGAAACAGCTGCACAGCTTCCTAAGGCAAAAGTGCTGGGAGCCACTTCACTGTAATACTTCATAAAACACTACACCCTGGTCTGCTTTCTTGCACATGTATATAGATTTGTTTGCTCTACACGTTCTACACTGCAGAAATATTTTCTATTTCCTGGCAGTCCTGGAAAACATTAAATGACCTCAGAGCATGACAGGCCAGATGCTCTTGCCCCGCTTGAGAGAAAAAAAAAAGAAAAAGCACCAAAATTTGTAACACCTGTTCCAAGTCATATGTCCAGCTCTGCTAGTGAGAGCCCAGCGGTCCAGAGGGACCCAGCTGCTCAGTGTACACACAGGCAGGCTTCAGGGACCTCCCTCTCCAAGCAGAGACTGCCCTGTGTTTTTTTTTTTGCAAACGTACCTGGCTAATGGGTGCTGTGCACCAATGCTTGTCCAACATACATTGGAGGAGCTCCCCCCAAGCTCAAGCGGTGGCTCTGCGTGAAGTCCTATCCCATTTAACTGCTGGAGCATTGAGACGGAAAGGAGTTTAAAAGAGTCATGTGGGAAAATCTCTGGCAGAGTGATGACTTGGACTGGCTGCCCAGACCTTTGTGCTATCTCTCTGCCTGACCCCCAGCACAACTCCTGCACCGGAGGCTGTCAAGCGAAGGATGCCAATAACACTGGGAAAACGTCTTCCTGTTGGAGAAGAAGAAAATAAAGGGTGGGGTGAGATGAGACCGACTATGAGGGATTTGGGGATTATTATTATTATTATAATCACTGCGGAGTTTCAGACTTTTTTTTGGTCTCTCTCCATTTTGAGCTTTGCAGATAGAAGACAACTACAGCTATCACCTCTGAAAGTTTTCCCTGGCACTTTGGTTGCTGCTCTGCCTCTGACCCCTCTTGGAAGCAGAGCTGGGAAGAGAGGAACCTGCAACTGCAGGCAGCCTCAGCCTAGCCAGGCATCTCCCCTTGCTGCTAACAGCACCTACCTGAAAGCAGGAGCTTCCACAGCAGCCAGGAGCCTTTCAGACCAACAGATCTCTGGGCCTGCACCCTCAAATCTGTAATTCTGAAGCTGAAGAGGTAACTAAAAAAAAAAAAAAACTTAAGGGACCCTGTGTTTTCTTAGGTACTTTCTCCTGAAGGAGATTTGAGGTCTCAGCTTTCCCTGGGTCTTGAGGACAGGTCTTGGGAAGTTAAGTGCCTCTCTCTGTAAAAAAAAAAAAAAAGGTAGGGGACCTGACCACAAAGGATAGGGTGACTTTTAGTACAGATAGCTGGACTAATTTCCTTTGTGAACAGTAAACTCTCTAGGAGCAAAGATCTCTTTGCATTGTTCAGGTAAGACTGGGAGGGGTGGGTGCTATCTCTACATAAATATATAAAGGAATTCACAGCAGAGCTAGGGTAGAGTCCTGCCAGATAGTAATGCCTGTCACTTACTGGTCGTTAGGATTAACATTAAGGCCTTGCTGCAGAGCTCTTTCACCACAGGGATGTAACAGGCATTCAATCATCTCCCAGTAGCCACCCCCAGTTCTCCCAGCAGCTGCACAGACAATAAAATACCCATAAGCATGAGTCAAACAGCAATAACGGTTCAAAGTTTGATTTCCGATCTCATCTGGGGCTTTTTCTCAAGCCTGCTGACTGCCTGGGACTCTTCCCACTGACCTAAAAGGTCAGGGATTGGGCAAACACAACTAGTCAGGGACAGCATCCCTACTAGCTGCTGAGAGCCAGCTACTATGACTGCAGTTGGTGCAGCAGCACCGCTCACGTGGCTTTGCTGAGTCCCACTCCCCTGTGAAACAGGCTGCTTTTAGGGGAAGAGGTCTCCACTCGTTCAGGCTGTTCCTTAACGTGCTTCCTGGGACAAGGCACCACCACCAAGCACAATGGCATTGGCTCAACCTGTTCGCTCACCTTGTCTCTGCAAGCTTCCAG